GGCAAAGAGGCAGTCCAAAACCAGCAAAACCAGGGAGCTGGACAGGAGACAGATTGGATTTGTCTTCAGCGTGGAAGGGATTGTGTCACTCTCGAATCGGCCTCCTCAGCCACACTAGACGCTGTTCCAAGTCCTCCATACAGAGCACGTTACCATCATCTCTCGAGACTGAAGGATGCCTAATCTAATCTAAGGAAAGGTAAGGAGCTATGTCCTGATATCCATCTCGAAGAACAACACAACTTATCTGCATTTTCTTTAGGCTTCTAAAAACATCCCCAGTCCTGCTACATGGAAAAGCTTTATGATCATAAAGCTTAGAAATTTAAAAACAAACAAAAATTTAATTCCAAGGTTCTCCATCAACTGACTTCTTCAGCCTTCACGCTTGTTCTAAGAGAGAGATTCATAGCTACGCAGGGGTCACTTCTCTGCCTCTGTAGCACCAGAGCTGTGCATCACGCATGCCTCCAGCCAACGAAACAACCACTTATGAAGCAGCTGAAGCAGCATTAGCACATAGTCTCAGCCACACACCACAGCAAAATCCGAGAGATCTCTTGCAAGGAACCTATTATCCAAATGAAGCAACTGCTCAGCAAAACATGTTTTTTTTTCCTTCTTACAGCTTTGGTGAGGAGGAACCCATGCGGAATTCAAAACTACTGGATGTTAAATTCAGACTCAGTGATTGACGAAATCAAGAAAGCCTATGGCTGCCTTTCGCAAGAACTGTGCTGATGTATGTACAACAGACTGGCTAGTAGTATCCTATTGTGGATTTACGCCAGCTAATTCATGAATTCTTGTTCTCATTCCTACTGGCACACCAACTCATGCGGCTGGTATGCAGCAACTCCCTAATTAGAGGCAATGTAAGCAGCAACTCCCTAATCAGCGGCAATGTAAGCAGCGACTCCCTAATCAGTGCCAATTTGCTGCCACCATTATGCTTATGCATGAATATGCAGTAGGATTCTCTCCACCCATTTCTCCCAAGTGTAAGGGACACTGATGTGTGTCAAAAATCATTCAATACGAGGTCCAAGAGTAAGGCAAGCTGATGCAAATTCTACTGAGCCTTTTATAAGACATTCACTGAATAGAGAGGCCTTGACGAGGCATTGCACACACGATGTATAATTGGACCCAGAGCTTTAAATTCTGTGGATTGCAACCTCCCGAAAAGGTCAACCCACCAACTCCAACAACATGGCAAGGATTCTGGGAACTGCCAGAAACAAAACCAAACAAAATAAAACTTGAAGATGACTTTTTAGACTTAAGAAGCAAAAAGCAAAGCATGCAGCTTATATACTGCCCCATAGCATTTAAAGCAATCTCCAGGCAGTTCACAATTTAATTATGCAGGCTACACACTGTCCCCGCCCCCCGCAAGAAATTGAGTACTCAATTCACCAACTTCAGAAGGATGGAAGGCTGAATGAACCTTAAACTGGCTACCTGGGATTGAATCCGAGTTATGGGCAGAATTTGGACCGCAGTACTGCAGTTTAACCACTGCGCCAGGAGGTTCCTGCATCACACCATCTTTACATCTCTTTAGTAACCAAATAATGTCTGTCCCATTTATTCGATTGAGGGTTTTTTGATGGGTGAAGTCCCACTGGTTATCCGAGGGCTGTTTCCGCAGTATTATATCGTTCCTAATGTCATCATTTATGCTTTTTATTACACCGAGATTTTGAAGCTCTGCTAAGGCTCCTTAAAAATGATGAGTAGGGGAAAAAAGCACAGAGGTAATAAAGTTATTTTAAATATATAGTGGCCAAAATTCTAGTGGGATTTTACAGACCCACAAGAGAAATCCCATCAGCTGCCATGGCTCTCTCAAGATCATGCTGAGTGCATGTTGGCCATGCACCCAGTCCTGCTTTGGACTGAGTAGCAGGGACTTCATTAATTCGCTCCAGTTAGCCGTGGGAACTTCCATAATTCCTCTTCCAATTGTGTAACATCCCAACAAGATTTTGACAACTAAAAAAAACAGACCCTGCTCACCCTTTCTCTTTCTCCCTTCCTTATCCAGTTGGGATCCACCTTTTACACGGCATCATCTTCACGAGTCTCGATCCACTGCTTCTTCCCTTACCCTTGACTCTCTCCTCCCTCGCTTTCAACCCTCTGCATTCTCTATTCTGTGGGTCTCCCGAGAGCAGGTAAGGAAAGTCTATCACCCACCGAGCCTGGAACGGCTGAACAACTGCGACAGCCTAGGAGGAATTCAACAGACCTCCTGCTGTCTAGGGTTGCATCCGTTAATTAAAGAATGAATTAATTAATAGGGACAGAGTGACAAGCGCCTGGAGGCCATGACACAGAGCGAGAAAGGGGCTGCTATTCAATCTGATGACTTGTGTCTCGCTCACGTTTGCAACTATGAACTTCGGGGGCTGCTTCCTACAAAATGAAAACTAAAATACAAACTCAACGGTGACTACACACAATACAGCATCCGTTAATTAAAGAATGAATTAATTAATAGGGACAGAGTGACAAGCGCCTGGAGGCCATGACACAGAGCGAGAAAGGGGCTGCTATTCAATCTGATGACTTGTGTCTCGCTCACGTTTGCAACTATGAACTTCGGGGGCTGCTTCCTACAAAATGAAAACTAAAATACAAACTCAACGGTGACTACACACAATACACATTGAATTTGGAGCCCGACCCTCAGTCCATCTAGCCTAGAATGGTCCATTCAGACTAACAGCAATGGCTGCCCTCCCAGGGTTCTAGGCAGGATTGTCTCCTAAACCGACCTGGAGAGCCTTTCTTTGTTTTAATTAATAAAAGGAAAATTACAAATAACAAAATGAAAACTAAAATGCAAACTCAACGGTGACTACACACAATACACATTGAACTTTCCCCACCCGTGCCAGCTTCACCCTCGGGACAAGGTGACCGATAACGTCCGTTTGTACCCCTTGTCACCCCATTCCTCTCCAAAAATACATTGATTCTTCTGCTGGCCTATATTTATTTATTTATTTATTTGATTTATACCCTGCCTATCCGGACTACTCGTATACCTATAGCCTTTGCCCTTCGAAAAGCCATACTTCCAAGTATAAATTCCATACATTTTTGGAATCGTTAAGACTCTCTTCTTATTTTCATTTCACCTGTTAACATTAATAGCTAAGCTCCACATTTCTTCATGCCAGTCTTCAAGATTAATTTGTGTGTCGCTTTTCCAACGCTTTGCAAATATTCATCTTGCTACCGGAAACATTCTGACAATGCAAAACGTGCTGCTTACAATGAACTCTTTCTAAACTTTTTTTTCAAAAGGCCGTTCTTAATTACGTTCAGAAGGGCAATCGTGGCCGTTCTAACAAAGCAAAGTGTGCTGCTTACAACAAACTCTTTCTAAACTTTTTTTCAAATGGCTGTTCTTAATTACGTTCAGAAGGGCAATCGTGGGCGACATCTGAATATCGCATACAATTAATTTTTCTAATTTCCTTAAAAACCAATGCCCTTTTATTTCACATGTCCACCACATATGCATATAGGTCCCTTTTTCGTTTTTGCATCCCCAGCATTGAGATGGACTATTTGAGTCAATGGACTTGCTGTCAAGTCGGACTTACTGTATTTTTCCATTTATAAGACGCCCCCCACTTTTGTAACCCCAAAATTAAGAAAACAGCTTTGAGTGTTCAGCCTCTGGGTCCAGAATGCTCGGACATTACGAGCCCCTGTTGCATCTGAGCCTACAGGCTCCACCTCCAATGAGGTGTGTTCCAGTTGGTTTGTTCAGCATCAGCTGACGTCAGTTATATAAGGCTCCTGATTGGAGGAAGCAAAGCCTCGGGACTGAAGGAAGCCCGTTTGCAGAGGCAAGGTATAGGCTGTTTTGTTCTCTCTTCAGCTTACTTCCGTGTATAAGACACTCCTCAATTTTTAGTGTAATGATTTTAGGAAAAAGTAGTGTCTTATCTACGGAAAAATACGGTAAGTCACACCGAGAACTCGATTTGAACTCAACTCGTTGGGTTTTTTTTTTACTGACTCAGAATTTGAATCGCCACTTGGAACTTACCCATCCCTCCCTATTTTCGGGGGGGGGGGGGGGCTTGTTTTTAATAGAGACACAGACTTGGAGTTTGGTACCAAAGACTCAAATTTGAACACGGGACTCAGACCCCAAAGCTTTGCCAGTATTCCTGCTGTTTAGCTTCTTAATTAAAATACTGAGTGTGTGGGCTGGGGGGGGTGTAAATGTGTTGTGCAGGCTGGTGCTAAACTGGGGATAGGAAATGTGGGGCTGACAAAATGGGGCTTTTCAGATGTGTTTGGAGCACTGCTCACTGTTGCCTTGCAGGTCTAAGTCAGACAAGCTGACGATCAAGACAGACATTATGTGGCTACTCAAAACACAAAGGGCTGCATTCTGTCTACCCCTGCTCTTAAACCACACACGTTTCGCTCGCAGAAAAGCTCCCCACAAATCAGCAAGAGTTCCTAGCATCCAGGCCATAGGTTGCAGGCACAGCACCCGTTGCCACCTCGTTGGCGCCTATTCCTCGTCATCCCTTCTTGCACCCACGCTCCCCACCCACCTGCTCACCCGCCAGAAGAGCAAATTTACTTCAAAGTCTGGCTGCATCTCCTTCAAACAAGGTGACATTTGAGTTGGCCCTTAATCCCGGCTGTCACAAGGAACTAAGTCATATTTCGTGCCCTGGGCGGCCGGGGGGGGGGGGGAGAGGAGAGATGGTAGAGCAAACTTTTGCACTGTGGTTGGAAACTTGATTTTGGAAGACAAAGACAGAGAGAGAGACACAAAGAGAGGATGCTTTCTTTGGGGAAAAAAATGCAGCTCAACACGACCGAGCCTCCTTTTAGACTCGTAGCAACCAAGCAAGACAATGAGCACAAAGACGTTTATTCCGAGACACACACCCCCCATTGCCCTCAATGATTACCAGTGAAGAATCCCATTTTCTTTTCCATAGAAGAAAACATACCTGGCATCTCCTTTGGACAGGTTAGTGTTCACAGGATGGAGGATAACTTTGTTTTCATCCACATCCAGCACGCATTTTGTATGCAGATCTATTTCTATAAGGGGGGGAGAGAGAAGAGAAGGAAGAAACAGAAGAAAACGTCAAATGCCGGTCCTTAAAAATCCACTGAATTTTTAGTATTTCAGCCTGAGCTTCCCTTTTCACCCCTCCATTGACCCAGAAGGTTGCGCCCGCATGTCCTGCTCCTTCCTGCTACGTACTTGGCAAAACAGGGCAGGAAGGTAGGACCTGCCACACAGTAGCTTAGGAACAGGATACAACTGCCAGTAACCCCTGCCAGGTGAGCATGCAATGGGGGGTGTTCTTTACTCTCCCCTCCATACACATTCGTACCACTGTGAAACATATTACAGTAATGGCAGTCTTTCCTCTTGGAAAGTTAAAAATAAATAAATGCAACTGGATGGATGGGATCATATCAACAAATGGGGAGCAGGTCTTTTGTAAAGGTAATGTCTCTTAATGTTATCAGTTTGAACAGTTTGAAGAGTTTCCCATTGCTAGGAAAGTGTGTGGAAAAATCACCCATTTGACTCTGCAGAAAGTTACTTTCTGGGCTAAGTCCTATGTTGGTTCCAACTAGAGGAAACAGCTGAAATTATTTCAGAAATACAGTACTAACCAAACCCATTCCTTTCAAGGGACTTATTTTATATGGAACACTGAATTTAGCCCCTTATGCTTCATGTTAAACAATCGCCTGAATTGCCACTTTCTCGTGCCTTTCTGCCTTGGCAAAGGTTTTCTCCAGCCCACGAACTCTAAAAGGTGACTTTTATTACCAGCGGCATCCTCCTCCTCAAAATGTCCCAGATGCCACTCGTCATTCTGGCATGGGCACTCTGAAAACTCTAGTCTAAAACTTTTGACTAAAAAAGCTACCTTAGATCCTTTTACTGGGAGAAAGGAGAGGTATAAATAAAATGAATGAATGAATGAATGAATGAATGAATGGATATATGAATAAAATGAATGAATGAATGAATGAATGAATGAATGAATGAATGAATGAATGAATGAATGAATGAGCAAGCTTTGTGACCCATTGGGTACAGCTGTGTTTGTCACCGCAAAACCAACAAGGAACCTTAAAGGTATACGAGTTTTGTTTCGCCTACGCTGGCTGGGTACACGAAACCTCATGCCACCATGAAATCACTTGACAAAACGATGACTTAAATGGGAAAAATCCGCTTGACGATGATCGGTTCCCTGCCTCGGGAACCAATTTTCGCATTACAACGATCTAAAAACAGCTGATCGTTGGGTTTCAAAATGGCCACCGGGTGTACAAAATGGCCCCCCGCTGTTTTCTAGGACGGATTCCTCGCTTTACAGGCACCGAAAACGGCCACCCCTATGGAGGATCTTTGCTGGATGGTGAGTTTTCAGCCCATTGGAACATCGATATTAACATCGTCAAGCGAGACACCACTGTATATATATTTTAAGCACTGCTGCCCCCAGTCTTTGTCCACTGTGTCCTAATTCTCCACACACACCCTGGAGCAATCTTCTACTTTCGAGCCAAGCCATGCTTTTTCCACATTTCCTTGTGCTGTATAATCCACATCAATTGGCAGCAAGAAGGCCCTGGGGTCACAGACAAGCCAGTGAGATGTCTCTCCACCACAGTCACCTGGGTATGGATTCAGAAAACAGGGCACCTGGCTGTTCTGGTGAACCTAGCCACCCCCTTCCCTCCCACCTCCACTCTGTCCCTAATTAGGATTTGAAGCCACTCTAGTTATAAGCTTACAAAGGCAACAGGGGCACTAAATTCCCATAGAACGCTTTTCAGCAAAAGGCTGGAAAAATCCCAGGGGTGTGAAAGACCAAATGCTTCAAACACCGCTAGTTCGCCTGTAATCCAGACCTTTCTCGATGTAACAGAGCGAAACCTCTCAAAAAGCAGACGGCGGCATTAACCTCGCCCCCAACCTGCTCCACGTTGGAGAGATCCGGCACCGCTGCTGAAATCACAAACGTTGCACACCCCAAAACACAATAGGAAGCTTCTTTTCCCAAAAGAAAGGCATTTGGCTTGTTCAAAAGGTAACCTAATAATAATAATGAAGCACGCTGCTTATATACCACCCAGTAGCACTTAGAAGCACTCTCTGGGTGGTTTGCCCTTTTTAATTACACAGGCTACATATTGCCCTCTCCTCAATTTACCGACACTCAAGACAGGATGAAAGGCTGAGTGAACCCTGAGCCGGCCACCTGGGATTGAATCCGGGTTGTAAACAGAGTTCTCGCTGCAGCGCTGCAGTTTAACCACCGCACCGCAACTTATGTCAACCCTTATCAGGATTTTCCTGTCTAAACTGAATAAAGCCACCTTGGGTCCTTTTAAGGAGAAAGACGGGATAAAAATATTGTAAATAAAACAAAACAAATAAAGCGGCCTTTTCCAATCTACAGTATATACCATTCCTATATGTTAAATTACAACTCCCATTATGTTTTTTCTTCCACCCAACTAACCTGAATTATTCTGCGCAACACTCAGAGAATTAGTCCTAAAATGTAACTTTTGCCATTTCCGAGAATTCCTATTAACAGGGTGAGGCAGATCCAATCCTGACCACCATCAGAAACACTGAGCTCTGAAGAGTCATGATTTCGCTTTTAAGCAAAACGCTGAAGTTAGTTATCAAAACTTACAATTTTTGGAAACTGCAGAGTGGGAGATGCCCCCCCCCGTGGGCTCCTCTTAAGAGACCAGCTGCCTATGATTCTCTCTCTCCCCTTGAATTGCCTTCACTCTAATTGGCCATGATCAGCAAATTAGTTTATTTTAAGTCTCTAACTTTAAGAGGTTTGGGATCTCTGTTCCACCCCTTATCCCTCCAGACTCATGAGGTAGCACACAAAAGGAAGAAATTTGGGAGTGTCTTGTATAGCCGCTTTTAGCAAACCAACGGACCTTGATTAGGCATCGGGAGCAAGAAATGTAGGGGAACCGAGAGGCCGGATTCAGCTTACGGCATGCCAGCTAGCCACCGCCACCTTTCTTCTGTCCCCATAGCGGATATGTGAGGGCCTATGACATAGTACAGTGGTGACTCGCTTGACAACGTTAATTCGTTCCAGTGAAATCGCTGTAGAGTGAAAACGTCGTCAAACTAAATTTTTTAAAAGCCACTGAAACGCATTGAAAACCGTTCAATGCGGTCCAATGGGCTGAATACCTGCTTGTCCAGCAAAGATCCTTCATACGGCAGCCATTTTCGGTGCCTGTAAAGTGAGGAATCCGTCCTAGAAAACAGCGGGGGGCCATTTTCTTCAGCCAGCAGCCATTTTGAAACCCGACAATCAGCTGTTTGCGGATCGTCGTAAAGCAAAAATCGGTTCCCGAAGCAGGGAAACGATCATTGCACAGCGAAAAAAACCCATTTAAAACATTGTTTTGCGATTGCAAAAAACATTGTCGTGAAGCAGATTTGTCGTTATACAGGGTAATCGTCCAGCAGGGCACGACTGTATTATGTTTCTGCTATGTAATATCCATGCACGTAATCATTCATGTGATGTTTTAGCTCAGTCCTGAAAGACATATCTGGATAAATAGCTAATAAATAGGAAATGTATCTGGATAAATGGTTAATAAATAGCAAAATGTACCCAAACACAACACCTGCAGCCCATCTCATGCGGTATCTAGAGAGCATGATAACAGTGGGATTGTAAAGGATGACCAACCCACAAGACAAAGGTTATTGCAAAGGGGTGGCAGCCCTTTTAACCGGAGAATGGCTAATAGCCCAGGGTTGGAGCAGCTGCTTTGCACGCAGAAGGTTCCAAGTTCAATCCCAGGCACCTTCAATTAAAGGATCACGTCGCTGGCAGGTGATCTGAGAGAATTCTGCTCAGCTCACGCTGGAGAGCAGCTGCCAGTGAAAGCAGATAGCGCGGCACTAGACAGATCAATAGGCTCACTCAGTCCTTGGAAATGCTCCTTGCAGGGAGGAGAGCATCCACATAGCAGCTTCATCGGGTGAGAAAGAGCCTCTGCTGAGGTCACGCTGATGACAGCCACTTTTACTCCGACAGTGGTTTCATCAGCCCTGCCGGTATTACTTTGAATTGAGTTCTAAAATTTGCAAATTGCATGCATTTAAGGAAACTGCAAATGGTATGCATGAAGAGACACCAGGAAGAGGTGTCAACCACAGAGAATTTCAGCCAACAGTAGCTTTCCTCTTGGGATCACAAAACCAGCTAAGTACTTTCTAAGGGGAATCCACCTTTCTCTCTCTCTCTCTTTTGGTTCACTTCCTCCTCCTCTGTTTTTACTGAGCAGAAGGTTGAGGGAATGGCTGCTTTTTCATATGACTTAAACACGTAACTTGGTTTCTAGCCATTTCGACAAGATACTAAATGTGGGAAGGATGAACTCCACATCAGCAACACAAAAAGAGATTTAAACATTATAAATCAAATAAGCAAGAGGCCTTTCCTTATTTGCACCCGTGCGCTGCACAATTTAAAATGTTGGCTGTATATGAAATATAGGTGAAATCAAAAACAAATTAAAATGTGAAGATCATTAGAGAACCCGTATTTGTGGTAGAAAATGCTCCAGCGTGCCACCACAGTAGCAGACCAAGGCAGACGCTTTTCATTCCAACAAGGCTAAATTTGGTTACGGTGATTCCCTAAATCCCAAAGCTATCCTGAGGCGCTTCCTTAATTAAGCCAACCAAAAAGGACCAAAGAAATCTGCAAAAGCTCTAAAAAAAACACACGACACACCCACACACACACACACCCACACACACAAAACCGTGTTAAGAACCAAAGCTCTTCATCCGGCAGGATTTAAAAAGCAGGGACTCAACAACAACAAAAACACACTGATCACCATAATCACCCAATCTCCTGAAAAGGACAAAAGCTGATCCCATAGCTATAAATACTCAACTATCCCACAAAACTGCACCAGAGCACAGACAGAGTT